CCACCTCTCGATCTCCAAATAACAATATATTTCAGCACCCAAAATCTGGGAGCCATTTGACCAGCCGGCACCTGGGTATTTCCGCAGCAAGGGGTGAGCGAAGGTAATACCCTGGGTACGATGTTGACTAGAGCGGTCCTTAATAAACTTTCTACGTCTAGTGTAATATTATTTTGTCTTTTGTGCATGTAAAGCACAATACAGAAACTTTAAGATACGCTTAAACTAAAGGAACGGAATATAGTTTGTAATTCAAGGTGCATGTTTGAAAACTAATTGTTCTTTGAGAAACTTTTTATCATATTCAAATAATGATTGTACAGTTTAAATTAAAATACTTTGATATGTATATGGTAGTTCATCCAACACCGCGGAAAAACGTCTGCGCATGCACCAAATTATGAAAATATGGCGTGGAATTTTAATATCAATTTCTAAAACAAAAACATGCTTATTAATTGGTCAAAAATTAGTAAAACAAACGAGAAAATATAGCAAATGGGTAGACTTGACATTAATTGAAAGCGTCCTGGCATTTAAAGTACGGAATGAAATATAATTCATCTAAAAAAATGTTGATTTTAATGGACACGACTTCGAAAATTTTTGCAAAATTATTCAAAACAAGAATTCAAACTAAAAAGTTAAGAAAACTCTCGAAAAGTTAAGCTTCTTGACCCACGCAAATTGTAGAATAAATCCTAAAGTTTAATTATTGTAAACACACAAATTTTTTATATTTGGCGACACAGTTTTTTTAAAGAAATGTATTTCAAACGAAAATTCGGAAATTGTCGTTGCTTAGTTGATAAACAAAATGTTTCAGACGATAAATTTGTCAACAATCACCTTTAGAATTTTTTCTGTGTTGGTGTAGTGTACTCAGGTGAATATGATATTTGTGGTGTTACTCTGAGTGTATATCCACACCGGGCGAGCTTGAAAAATATGCCCGGCCACTGTGGGATTCGAACCTACGACCTTTGGAATACTAGCCCAATCCCACCGTGGCCGGGCATATTTTTCAAGCTCGCCCGGTGTGGATATACACTCAGAGTAACACCACAAATATCATATTCACCTGAGTACACTACACCAACACAAAAAAATTCATATTACTAGAATACATTGGTATCGAAGGAACTAGATTCTGTTCCGAAATATCACTTACTCGAACCGTCCTGACCGCGTAGCTCAGTTGGAAGAGCATTGGGCTAGTATTCCAAAGGTCGTAGGTTCGAATCCCACCGTGACCGGGCATATTTTTCAAGCTCGCCCGGTGTGGATATACACTCAGAGTAACACCACAAATATCAATCACCTTTAGTTCATGTTCTTGCACAATACAATTTCTTGAACCTTCTGGCTGTATTTATTTCTAGTTTTTAGAATGACATGTTTATTTTTGCCCTTGAAATCTGGCTGTAAAGACGCACAATGAAGTCACTCTTCTATACCGCCATTTTGAGCCTTCGGAAACGTTCGGAACAGCTTCTCATCAAGTTCGCAATACTATTACAGGTAAGGTTGACGCATGCGCAGACGTTTTTCCGCGGTGTTAGTTCATCCTGTCTCAACTGCATATAATGCGACGTTTGGATGCGCATACGTACTTTGAATTACCCAATGTACAATTACACAACACAATACAACATAACACAATTTTATGTAACTCTCCCCAGAGGAACATTTCAGAGTCAATAACAAAACTTATTTATAAACTATGCTAGTAAGGATATATAAAACTCTTAGAGATTGTTTATATGGTCCCGCCTACCCGGGATTCAATGAAGTGTGACGTATTTTGAGCAATTGAAATATGTGTTTCAGCCCTAAACAAAAGTTAGATAACCGACTTTAAATATTGTTTAAACGAAATTTACGAACGCGCTAGAAGTTATGTTGTGGAAGAAGACGATTAATTTAATAACATTCAACAACAGTGCGGTTTTTTGTCTAAAACATGGGATTTCTTACAATTTGTAACAAGCAATTGTGTTAGATCATGAAGTGCGACTTATTTCAATTGCTCAAAATACGTCATACTTCATTGAATCCCGAGTAAGCGGGATCCCCATGGGATTGATCCCCATGAAATGTAAATGCTAAAATGTTTTTCTGATAAATATTTCTAATAATAAATATTTCTAATAAATGTTTATTTGACTTCTACATAAAACGAACATGATTAAGTTAAATCTGGACGTTGGTTCGACAAAATGTTTTTTATTTGGTGGTCAGTTGCTGAGGAGAATGATGTCACCATGCATCAAGGGGGTTGAGTTCAAATACAGTAGTGCAACGTCCACTTGTGTCGGTTTTCCCCACAGCTGATGAAAAATCCTTAGTTTGTGCCTTTTTAGCATCGAAATATTTTCAAAATAATATTTTCATAAGCTTTTCTGTATTTGATATGTCTTATTCCATAAATGAAAGCATTCACGATCGAGTTTATACCATAAAATTCATAATTGAAAAATACAAACCATATTTTGCGGTATGACTTACTGAAAAAACGCTCTATCGTTAGCCCAATCGCAGTAGGAATGAAAACACAGAAAGCTAACACCACAACAACAATTAAAAATGTTTTGCGGCTTTTAACCCAATGTAGAAGCGGAGCATTCCATTCAGTTTTTTGGACGACTGTTCATTCGAAGTGCCAATCGCTGTTGCTGTTTCGGACAAAATTCGTCGCCGTTGTTTCCGAGCAATATTTAAAATTCGGAAATTGAGAAGAAAGATAAGAATAAGAGGAAGACAGAGAATAAAAACATTCATAAGCAAAAAAATATTGTTGGATATGATGAAGCATAAGCTTCTCAATTTTGAGTCATCTCTACTCCAATAAAATAAAAATACAATAAAAAGACAACAGGCATTTAACCAGATGCCCGCAATAGTTAGAAAAACTCGTCGTTTGGTCACAATCAGCAGATATTTGAGAGGTTTTACAATATATAAATATCGATCGACAGTAAGGGCGAGTAGTGTAGCCACTGAAGCGAACAGCAATGACCAGATTGCAGAACGACTTAACTTACAAAACAGATCCTGATCACTATCAATGTTTAATATAGTCTGTATAAGCTCAATGATCCACATTGGATAAAATGTTAAACACACGAGAAGATCTGCAAATGCCAAGTTTCCAACCAAGTAAGATGTCGCTGTCTTTTCTTTGTTCAAGAAAATTGTATAAATTATAACTGTGATATTTCCCAAAACTCCAGTAATCATCGCGATGAATTTAAATACAACTGACAACAACAAAACCTCGCTTGGAATTGTATTAGTTGAGTTATTTGCATGCATAGTTCCTCCTTTTTCTAATTTAATGACAAATATGCTTTCTTGTTTCAATGTTCTTCAAAATAATATTCCAGGAGATTTCTGTTGCGAGCGGAGAAGAAAATGATCAAAACTACATATAAAAGGTACGGCTTTCTGTTTGTGTAACGGTCGGCAGCATCAAAACAGTGTCAAACACTCAGAAATTTAAAATTTATATTTTATTTTATTTTTAAAGAAGAATTTGCATAACGGCCATTAAGTACTTGAAACAATCAACTGCAAAGCTTGATCATGAATGAAGAATGTCAGCATGTTAATATTCCCAGCTGCTATGGCGTACAATTTCCGCCAAAATTCAAGTTTGCAATTTCAACACACAACTTGGTTTTTCGACATTAACGCATTTTTTACATTAAAGTTTGAAATTTCAGTACATTGTTTGAATTTTAAACACTAAACATAGCATTTACAACTTTACACAGGCTTGCCTAACCTGTATACGGAAATAAAATGAGTGACTCAAATTACTAAAACAAGCGAACGAAGTGGAATGAGCCATGCAGCTGCATGGGTTCTTAGGGGAGGCTATATACGCCCTCCTAGTGGAGTGCAGGGGCAACTCCCCTGGAAGCTTTAGCTACTTCAACCTACTTTGAAAAGGGTTAATTCTGTGTTAAACTATAGGGCTAATTCTGTCTGCAAAATTTGCATTTTATACTCTGGAGAAAATGCACAACCTAGGCACTAATCACTGAAAAACAAAGGTTGCGTTTCATTCTGGACCAAATGGGGAAATATGCGTGAGTTTTGCGATGAACTTACTATGCGGTCGTGGCCACGAAAATTCTCGAAAATGCGTACTAACTTTACGCGGTACAACTACAGAATACCACGCCACTAAAAATGATCATGTTGACAGCCTAAAAGCCTACACTGAGCGAGATACAACTTCAGAATACCACGCCACTAAAAATTATCATGTTGACAGCCTACAAGCCTACACTGAGTGAGATACAACGTCAGAATACCCTGCCTCTAAAAATGGACATGTTGACAGCCTACAAGCGTAGACTGAGCGAGATATTTATTTATCAGTTGGGTCTCGAGTAAAAAGGTTTTCACATCCGAAAATATTCATGTATGTGCGAAAGAGATTTATTAACAATGTTTTATAGGTGCAAAATAATTTCGAAGAACGAGTTGACTGTATTTCATACAATTTAAGCCGGTTCCAGATGAGCAAGTTTTCTATGACAAGTTTTCATATGACAAGTTTTATTTGCCAAGTGCACGTGTGTATATGCAACAAATTTTATATGATAAGTTTTCTTATGACAAGTTTTACTTTACTGATGTGAACGTGTCAACAAGTTTACTTTGACAAGTTTATTTGACAATTGCTTCTGCGTGGGTTAAAGCCAGGTCTTCCTTCTCGAGAAGTTGGTGTGGAAACTGTTAGGAAAGCTTTGTGTTTTCTGGAGTATTGCTTAGCACAAAAGGATGTTAAGGTTGAGGTATGATTAAAATTTTAGTCATTGCATGCTTTGCTGACATTTTAGTCGGGGTTGGTCAAGGTTGGCTTTGGGGTTAGGCTAAGGGTTAGGGTTGGGGTTAGGGTGTGGGCAGGATGTTGTCCAGGGTGTGGGTCAGGGTGTGTGGGTCAGGGTGTGGGCCACAGTGTAGGCGAGTGTGGGTGAGGCTGTGGATTAGGGTATGGGTTAGGGTATGGGTTAGGGTATGGGTTAGGGTGTGGTTTAGGGTGTGGATTAGGGTGTGGGTTAGGGTGTGGGTTAGGGTGTGGGTTAGGGTGTGGGTTAGGGTGTGGGTTAGGGTGTGGGTTAGGGTGTGGTTTAGGGTGTGGGTTAGAGTGTGGGTTAGGGTGTGGGTTAGGGTGTGGGTTAGGGTGTAGGTTAGGGTGTGGGTTAGGGTGTGGGTTAGAGTGTGGGTTAAGGCGTGGGTTTAGTGTTTTAGGGTTAGCGTTATAGGGCAGGTATAGGGTTAGGATTAGTGTAATATGGTTAGATGGACTTTATGATGCAATATTTTATTGTTATTACAAACTTATTTGTTCAATATGTTTTCAATATTTTTAGTTTTTTTGAGGGGTTATACAGTGGTCAATTAGAGAGTGAGAAAAAACAACCGACGACATTGCAAAGAAAGATGGCTTTGCTAAGGTTTCCTGGGCCACTTGTCACCTGGAGAGGTTTCAAGCAAGCATCTAGTCGTAGACTGCACACGACAACAGTTTCAGAGTTTGAGACGTGCTGTTTAGAGTTGGCGGAACAAGGATATGGAAAGGTTGTAAAACTTCGAGTTCCAAGAAGTCCAAAACAAACTTCTTTTTTCATAAAGTGTAAACCAGATGTTATTGCACAGGGGGCCCCACTATGAGTTATTATTGAAATAATATTGTATTTATTTTTAAAAACCTACTTGAATCCCTTGATAATCGATTATTTCTTCTCTCGAAATTCTGTAAACATTTTAAACTGCTTGAATCATTATACTATCACTCTACATGAAGTATAGGTGATCGCTGACAAGTTAGAACGCGGGCGCGGAAAGACGAAGGCGGCGAAAGAAGGAAGAATTAAACTAAAGGGTTGAAACTTCGACTAGATGACATTTCTAAATGCCTTAAAATTCACAATTTATAGGTGTTTTCGAATATTTTTTGCAGATTCTATGTCTTTTTGGATATATCTTCACAACTGATGTAGTAGATTCGATAAACGATTGATTTTTCGTATGTTGTTACATGAAACACTCGAAGCGTTTTTTCGCACAATGTGTTCCATAAGTAGGTTGTTTTCGTGACGTCAAGTATAATGAGTCCGAGCCATTTAAAAGGTTTACAGAACTTCGAGAGAAGAAATAATGGATGATCAAGGGATTCAAGTAAGTTTTTAAAATAAATACAATATTTTTTCAATCCTAACTCACATTGGGGCCCCGTGCGAAATTTCCGGAGAACAACCTACTTATGGAACACATCAAACGATGACCCGCCGAAGTTTCAACCCTTTAGTTTAATTCTTCCTTCTTTCGCCGCCTTCGTCTTTTCGCACCCGCGGTCCTTACTTGTCAGCGATCATCTATACTTCATGAAACGTCATGTAGAGTGATAGTATAATGACTCCAAGCAGTTTAAAATGTTTACAGAATTTCGAGAGAAGAAATAATCGATTATCAACGGATTCAAGTAGGTTTTTAAAAATAAATACAATATTATTTCAATCATAACTCATAGTGGGGCCCCCTGTGGTTATTCCGGCTGACGGAGATCTAATTAGCCTCCACGACTATGGCGTCCGTTACAGCATTGAGTGCCATTCAAGTATAACAGAGAGCATGAGGAATCTACTAGTTACTAAATCCTTTGTGGACAATGATTTCTTTGAGTGTGGTGATAACTGACGTTATTAATTTATTAATATGTTTATTTGTGTGAATTCGTGATCGAATAATTAAATATCTGATAAATTTTTACGTCAATCGCAGATGCGGAAAAGTTACTTTAATTTGTTTGTATGTGGTAATCACCAAGCGAAATAAACAGCCTTTACGATTGGTTAATAAGAGCGATGGAAGTTAGAATAAAACTATAAAAATCAACTTTCTAAAAAACGAATTGAAAATAATGCATGATTACTTTATTTGTTTGGGGTTAGGGTTAGGGTTTTGGCCAGGGTTTCGGTCAGGGTTTGGGCCACGGTGTGGTTCATGTTTTGCAACACGTTTTGGGCATGGGTTGGGCCAGGGTTTGCGTCAGGGTGAGGGACATGGTGTTGGTTTAGTGTTTTAGGGTTAGCGTTATAGGGCAGGCATAGGGTTAGAATTACTTTATTTGTTTGGGGAAGCCAATGGCAAAACGTGATCATTTCAAGTTGGTATTTAGTGTGTTTGTTAGAATTTGTACCTGCTCTGCTGCTTTTGTTTTGTAGGCGGCGTATGCCGAGTAGGCCGTGTAGGCCGTGTAGGCCATGTATGCGCCATGTAGGCCAAGTAGGCTGTGTAGGCCGAGTAGACGGTGTAGGCCGAGTAGGCTGTGTAGGCCAAGTTGGCTGTGTAGACTATGTAGGCTTTGTGGCAACGTAGGTAGAGTACAGTATGCATGTTAAGTTGGCTGTGCTGTAGGCATGGGCTTTAATAGATTGTGGTTTGATTGGCGGGGTATTGTGTAGTTACTCCATTTCCGCTTTATGCGCGGAAGGCGGAAGCGAAAAGGAGAGGAACTATAGGCTGGGCTTAGGTGTTGATTAATGGGAAGTTTTCAGCCCGGACTGAATTAATTTCAACCCCGTTAAAACGCAGGTAAAATCAAACGCAGGTAAAATCTCAGCGTCGCGTCCTAATTCGCTTCTTCGAAGAATTTAAAATGTTGTTCATGTCACATTTGGAAAACGTGTCTGACGTAGATGAATGTAGTACGTAGCATACTATAAATATTATGATACTTTTAATTAATTGCAATGTGTAATGAAAATTATCATTTAATATATAAGTTGCGCATAAACAAATCTGTCA